GACACACAAACACAAAGATGGATGCATTTCATGCACGCAGATTAAAAAAAAAAAAAAAACAAGAAGATGGTCACAACCACAGAAACACAAGATAAACAAAAAGTCATAAACGTGATGCAGAAAAATATAAATTAAAAATATATAATGAGCAGAACACAAAATGCATGCTATATGGTGACAAATCAACACCTGTTCTAACACAAGAAATTAATTTAAACTCAGAGCRTTACATAAAGGTTTGTGCAGAAGCAAACTGCTCAGTCACACTGCTTAAACGAGCAGGAGCCATGGGTGCAGGCTCCAAATAAAACCTCTAATTAAACTAGCTGAAGGCTGTAATTTACCTGATGTAGAGAGTTGATTTCTCCTAATTCTCCGTCTTCGTTTATTTTAACAGAAACAGAAAAGCTTTCAGTTTTGAAAGCAGAGGTATTTTGAATTCCCTGCACTGTTAAACTAAAYGGATGTCCCATCATTGTGCATTGCCACAACCAACAGAAAATGGGAATGGAAAATTAGCAAAAGGGAAATAAATAATGAGCATTATTTCTTTGTGGTTGTGAGCTTTCAGTAAATTCAAACTGCAGTTTAAATATTTTGTAAGATTTGTCCCTCTACTAATACAAATGGATCATATAATGCATTTCATACATGAATGAGGTCAACWTATAAAAAAGTTAGCAAACATCTACATGCTTAGGAACAGAATGACAACAACACTTGATGAACACAGGGACTCTCAGTGAAATGGGTGAATGAGTAATGGAGGGAAACCTGTTTTCTCCTTTAATGTGCAATTGTTGATTCAAAACATGTTACTAAAACAAACGAAAAGTTAAAAAATGTAAATAAAGAATCCTCATCCTTCGACAACTTCCTCTCCGTTTTTATTTGTCAGGGGTGGTCTCCGAGTGGCTTTGCTCCTGTGTGTGCATCGTACCGTGCCTCTTCCAGCGGTGACCACGTATGGAGAGGGAGGTGACGGCGTTGCGGGAGATTCTGGAGGCRGTGGGCGTGATCTCCACTTGGATACTCCGTCCACCCTCCTTGTTGCTTTTCAGCGCAGCACCACGTAGTGACGATTTGATGGCGTTGCCCACCTGAAGGTTAGTAAAAAAGGAAACACGWGTTAGGATTTTAAATGATGCCAGAGGTTGATGGAAGGACGGCAAACGRCACCAGTTCACTGGAAAGTTTGACTGAAAACTGTCTTATTTCATCCCGCAGAGCAAAAACATGCTTGTTAGGTTAATTRGCAACTAATCTGCCCCTCTGTAAAAGTGAAWGTGTGAACGATTATTTGTCTCTATGTGTCCCTCTGATGGACATGTGACCACCCAAAAAGGACAAAGAGGGTAAAGAAAATGGATGGATAAATAAAAACTGTCTTCATAGCAATGTTTTTTTACGCTACTTTTTCTTTCTKTGCATCTTAAAGAACCTATACGGCTTCATCTACTCTAAAACAACCGCTGCATGGACAAACACGTGTTTATATAATACATTCATCTCCTGATTATCCCAGATGAGCCTGAAGGCCAGATTGCATCAAAATGTAAATAAAAAAAAACCAAAGTTCCTCCTGATATGACGCACGTGAAGCACGCAATTATATGTCACTGTGACCGAATTAATGTCTGAGCAATAATCCCAAAGTTTCTGCAGGTGCATCACAGCTGCCAGGGTCACAGATATCAAATGTAAAAGTCTTTGCATAATAAACTGATCCTGCTGAGAGTTCACATGTGGTGTTTGCACAGATGATCGTGTAACAGTTTAGTGAGCCTAATAAGGTAAAGGTCATTACGATCAGATCACAACGTGCCTTTTGTCTATAACGTTACAGCACGTCATCGTGTTATGCTAAGCTAAAAGCTACCTGGAGTATTCYACTTTAAACAAAAAAAAGGCAATACTTCTGTGAATTAGTGAACCGAGTCCACAAAGCTTATATTTTCCTCAAAACATTAACCTAAATCTAAAAACATCCTCACTAACGTGTATCCCAATGCTGTGCGTTTTGATTGTTGTAGAGGAACACACCTTTTACTTGTGTAGTAATACTGTGAGCTTACTAGATTCAATCCTCAGCTCCCAAAGCCTCAAGGATTACAGCTTAACTGAGCGGAGGGAAAAGCATGTAAATAATCTAGAGGGATTACACATTGTGCACAGTCTCACACAGAGACCGACAACGCAGCACACTGTGGCGAGCGTGAATCAAAACCAAAGGCCAACATGTGCGTCGTTATCACATGCCGTCTCTCTCGCACGCAAATAAGTGTAAACAGTAAGAGGGTGTGAGTTAGCAGAAAAACACTGGGCTCACCAATAAAGCTTCAGGGAACAATTCTAGCTGAGCTCGATACAGAACGTCATCCAGTGCTTTGGAGCCCAGTTCAACTTCACCATTACATCTATAAAAAGGCAGAAACACATGAATAAAAACATGTAGCGAAGAAAACAAGGTCATTTATGTCATGGTTCCAATGAGCTTTTAGGCATTCACCATAAGCTGAACCTAAAAAATTTAATTCAACAAAAGGTCTTTCTCTAAATGAAAATGTTGAAAACTGCAATAACACGTGGTAAGAAACAAATGAGGATGTTAGGTTACCTAAAAGAGGTCAGTTTTATAATTATGTTACATAAATGACTTCCTACAAAACACTGAGTTTGGACTTTTTTCTCCACTTCTCCAAGAGTCACTTTTTTAATGGTCTATAACTCTTTTGAAATCCCCTTTCAAGTATATTATTTTATGCCTGTAAAAATTATGGACAGGACAAATTGTGTGTCCTTGAAATAGGCTGCTTGTAACAAAAACACCTGAGGGTACAAGTTAAAAGAGGTTCTTTGTTTTTATCATCCCTGGAATTCAGGAGTCTTTTTAAGCTTGAAATTGTTTTAATGGTTGCTTTTAAGTGGCTCAACTTATTGGGTGAAAATAAAAGCATTCCTACTAAAGTGGTTGAGTACCAGAACTGAACAGAAAAGGAGTATAAACAACCAAAGTGCAAAGAAAAGACCTTCAGAAAGCTCGTGGAGAGCAGTTGCTCAAGGCTGGTTTAAGAGATTACGAGAGTCTGGCTCCTTAGAAGCAAAACATGAAGAACGAGGGCTGCTTCAGGACTTTTTAATGTAGAAAACTCTAACATAAAAACTACATTTTTTAACTTCAACGGCTTTGTTTAGTCATATGTGGGCACTTACAGGGCGTAGTGGATCCCCGTAATGAGCTGAACCAGGAACTCTGAGGTAACCGTCAGGCGTGCGCTGATGCCTTTGTAGCGCCGCATCTGTTGCCGTGGGTAACCACATATACACACCCTGGCGAGTAAAACCAATAGAAACACAGCGGAGGAGTGAAACAGAGTAGCAGGGAAGACTAACCCCACCGGGGGCGGCTTGATTACAGCTTCATTATGACAGCTTCCTTCCCTGTGGTAAGTTGATATGAAACCAAACATTAACAAAACACAAACAATAGTGCAATGCATGGTGGATCCCTTTCAAATAGCTCAAAAACTGGTTGTAAAGGCATCCAAACTCTAGAAGATTCTGTTTATTTGATGCAGTGAAAATCTGTCAGTATCATAAAGCATCAAGTGGAAATCCGAGCTGATGACTCTTCATCAGACGAAGCTGAGCCTGGATGTGTGCACATGGCTGCTCTATGCCAAAAACAGTGCTATCTTGGCTCTCACTAGCAGCAAAGTCTATAAGAGGATCAGATAAGCAACTGCTTGCAAATGAGTGTGTATGTGTATACGTGAAAAAATGTCTGCTTAAATGACATTAACTATAATGTACACTCACCGGCCACTTTATTAGGTACACCACGCTAGTAACGGGTTGGACCCACTTTTGCCTTCAGAACTGCCTCAATTCTTCGTGGCATAGATTCAACAAGRTGCTGGAAGCATTCCTCAGAGATTTTGGTCCATATTGACATGATGGCATCACACAGTTGCCGCAGATTTGTCAGCTGCACATCCATGATGTGAATCTCCCGTTCCACCACATCCCAAAGATGCTCTATTGGATTGAGATCTGGTGACTGTGGAGGCCATTTGAGTACAGTGAACTCATTGTCATGTTCAAGAAACCAGTCTGAGATGATTCCAGCTTTATGACATGGCGCATTATCCTGCTGAAAGTAGCCATCAGATGTTGGGTACATTGTGGTCATAAAGGGATGGACATGGTCAGCAACAATACTCAGGTAGGCTGTGGCGTTGCAACGATGCTCAATTGGTACCAAGGGGCCCAAAGAGTGCCAAGGAAAGATTCCCCACACCATGACACCACCACCACCACCAGCCTGAACCGTTGATACAAGGCAGGATGGATCCATGCTTTCATGTTGTTGACGTCAAATTTTGACCCTACCATCCGAATGTCGCAGCAGAAATCGAGACTCATCAGACCAGRCAACGTTTTTCCAATCTTCTCTTGTCCAATTTTGATGAGCTTGTGCAAATTGTAGTCTCAGTTTCCTGTTCTTAGCTGAAAGGAGTGGCACCCGGTGTGGTCTTCTGCTGCTGAAGCCCATCTGCCTCAAAGTTCGACGTACTGTGCGTTCAGAGATGCTCTTCTGCCTACCTCGGTTGTAACGGGTGGTTATTTGAGTCACTGTTGCCTTTCTATCAGCTYGAACCAGTCTGCCCATTCTCCTCTGACCTCTGGCATCAACAAGGCATTTCTGCCCACAGGACTGCCGCTCACTGGATGTTTTTTTCTTTTTCGGACCATTCTCTGTAAATCCTAGAGATGGTTGTGCGTAAAAATCCCAGTAGATCAGCAGTTTCTGAAATACTCAGACCAGCCCTTCTGGCACCAACAACCATGCCACGTTCAAAGGCACTCAAATCACCTTTCTTCCCCATACTGATGCTCTGTTTGAACTGCAGGAGATTGTCTTGACCATGTCTACATGTCTAAATGCACTGAGTTGCCGCCATGTGATTGGCTGATTAGAAATTAAGTGTTAACGAGCAGTTGGACAGGTGTACCTAATAAAGTGGCCGTTGAGTGTATAAAGGTACACTTGTGTGTTTGTTTGCATTAAATCATAAAGTGAAGTGCCAAACAAACTTTACCTGGAGCTAAGCTGGCAGAGGGACTGCAGGGAGGTGGAGGTCATGTAGCTGAGAGCAGCATTGTAGCAGAGCAGCAGGAAGGTCAGCACCTCAAATCTCATCAACAGAAAACAAACTGTTAAAACAGTGCATTACAAAATGACTAACAATTAGTGATGAGACATGTTTTAACTCCCACATTAAAAAGGTTATTAGTACTGATTTCTTCCACCTGCAGAATATTGTTAAACTAGAAACATCAGTTCAGGAAACTGGTCCATTATCCTTTCTATAACCTTTATACATTTTCTCAAAACTATAGCAAATTTTACATGGACGAAACTAAAATTAGGTATCTCAAAAAGCAATCGAACTAGTTTTGTCACAAAAAAAATCTTGAAAACAACAGATTAAAAAACAGTTTTCATAACCCAGCTGGTTTCAAACTGAGTAAAGAAATATCACTGATAAAATCTGAGTTCAGGTTGTTGTGACAGAGGGTCTTTTTAAAGAGTTATTTTAATTTCAGAAACGCTCACAGCATCGCAACTTCAAATAAAACAAGGAAAAGACAACTGCCATGGGCAATCACTGAGCCAAACACATCCTTTCTAAAAATAATTGGTTATTGCAGAAGCTAACACCACAGCATGACTCGTCTTTGTGTGTCTCTGAGGCAGTCTAGCAAAGACTCGAATAGGATATTTGTGGAATAAATGCTGCTCAGTTCAAACCCAGGTATGCGTGATCTCTCATCCTCTGTGTGCATTTCTATTTTAGTTAAAGGCTAATCTTTGCTACCTTTTGTGAAGACTACCATCCTCCTACAAGGAAAGTTAAAAACTATTGGTTTAACCTCACTGCCACATGTGGAAAAAAAAGAAAATAAAAGATCCTCCTACCTGTTCTGTGCAGTAAAATTTTCTCTCTGTAGGTGTGGCCCRCTGTACACGACCCTGCTCAGACCGTGATGGGATAAAGCTCCTTCTGTAAGAGCCATGGAGCCAATAGCTGAAGGCTGGAAGTGACAAAGTSGGGCTTAAATAAATATGCGTCATTAAATTCAAGCTGAAGATTTATGTCGTTTTGCTGGTGGACATACCTCGTGGTACACTGAGGGTTTGGATATGGAGGGAACTGTAAAAGACAACACTTTACTTTGTCCATCTTTATCAACTATTTCCTGCAAGAGAGAAAACGAGAAGAGGAAGAAAATGTTTTTGTGAGCAAGAAAAACAAGCTTTGCTTTCTTTGCATGACCCAAAGATCTCCTCATGCGTTGTGTGTGTGGGTGTTTGTTCGTAGACCTTAGGGTCTCTTTTCCCCACCCAGACTGTTGGCGTGTGTTTATCTATTTGTGTGGACACTCTGGGAATGTAAATGGAGAAAATCCCCAGGGTTTTGGCATCCCCTCTGTGCCATGTTAATGTCAAACAGATTATTAGGAGCCAGCCGGTACGCAGAGCGACAGCTGACCTATTCTCATATTCACAGAGGAAGTTAGAAGCTCCACGACGGTTGATGGAGCATTTAGAGGCGTGGTGGACGCAAAYGGAACTCGACACCATTTATTATTAATGGTGCCACCATGACTCTATGGGAAGATTATCTGAAAAGTGCAAAGTAATTGTTTTCAGTTCCCTCATTTCTAACCCTTACTTCCWGTCATTCTCAGCAGATAGCTGTCTRATAACACAAAGTAATATTTTAAAACTTGTGAAGCAGAAAACCTAAGTCTTTTATGGTTACACTCAAACATTAAAGTTAAATGGTTTAAAGTGATTCCCCATAAAGAACTAATTACACTGGAAAACATTTCCCTGCTATGTCTCTAATAATGACACATAAAAATGCTAATGTGTGGCTACAAACGACATGCTGTCACAGCCTGAACGCTCTTCCCTACCAGGTTGTAAATGCCCAGCAGCAGTGCTTCGATGCAGCCAGAAGTGTGGGGGTCTCTGGCTGCGCTGACGGACAGGAGACTCCACAGGAGCTCTGGCAGGAACTGTAGCGTGAAACGCTGCAGCTGTGGCACACCGCTCCGGTAAAACTCAAACAACTGGTGACACACGGGCTCCAGTAGCTGGGGAGGATGGAGGGTTGGAAACAACAACAACAAAAAAGACAAAGTTCAGACTGGAGTAAAAAAAATGAAGACTAACAAAGAATTAAGTCCAATTTCAGAACAAAAATGTAAGGTATTGAATGAATCAAATTGTTTACATACATCGCTGTAGTTTTCCCGGATGACCTTATAGAGAGCAGGGACCAGAGAAACTTTGTCTTTAAGCGATGCAGCATATGTGGCCACWGCACTATCAGGGAGGGTCTGAAAAATAAAAACACGATGTCTGCATCACCACAGGCATGTCCAGGACGCATAAATAAATCAAGATATCCGCTCAACATCATGAACTATTTAAATAGTCTGAAATTATGTCAACATGAGAAATGTGACATTACATAAAAACGTTCCTGCAACAGTTCAGGGGAAAATGTTTCCAAAAACGGTACTCTGAAAGCATTTAAAGCTTAGTGGCATCAGATTAAACTCTCAGTTTCAACCAGATGAAATTCTCAGTTTCATCWAGTTGCATTTGTAGGTAATTTTTACTCAACTGTGACAAAAGGTTTATTGGTAACACTTTATTTGAAGGGGTGTACATAAGGCTGACATGACACTGTCATAAACATGAATGAATATTTATGACTGTTGTCATTAAGGGTCATTCGGTAAATTAGGACACATTTATTGCAAAGCTGACATTGTTTAAAATGCCTTGATTTAGAGAACTTGACATTAACCAAGACAAAAAAAAATCTTTTATTTGTCTTGGGGAAAAAAAAATGTCAACTTGACATTGATATGATGTGATATGTATAAAAATGTCACGAGAGACTCTTTTATTGTACAGAGACAGGTGATTGTATCACATCATATAATGCCTTGATTATGTCAAGTTGTCTTTACCAAGACATTTTAAACAATGTCAACTTTGTATTAAATGTGTCATAATTCACTGAATGACACTTAATGACAACAGTTATAAACATACATTCATGTTCATGACAGGTGTTGTGTCATGTWTTTGACAGTCATGTCAGTCTAAATAAAGTGTTACTGGTTGATTTTGTACATTTGCACAGAAAAATTGAATCTGCTTCTTTGTCATTGCAAACACAAAAATGTCTGAAACTCAGTGTGTTCTACAGATTTTGAGTTCTAATTTGACATGTTGCTGCAATCCATAGAGCATCTAAACTCTGCCATATTAGCTGGTAGGAAATATGCATTCCTTCTAAAACTGTTAGCTCTTTAATTATCATCATTATTATTTCTCACTAAGCTGCAGCTTTGGTAGCAGTCAAGTACCGGTGAGTGCTCRTGTTTGAGTGGGAGCTCGCAATTTTCAGGGAACAAAGCACTCCAGAGAGCGTGTTTGTTTATGAGAGTGAAATAAATTCTGTCAGTAAAAAACAGCAGAGAATGTGCTGCATACAGATCATGGCCAAACGCTGATTCAYTGTTTTTTACTTTTCTTTTTTTGCACGTACAGGCACACAGATGACCACAGAATAAAATGGTACCTTAAATTCTGACAGCCATTCCTCCACCACTCCTTGGTCCATAGCCAACATGTTCCCTCATCTGAAGTGGTGTCACTTCTACCTAAGAAAATTCAAAAATAAAAATAAAAAAACAAGCATAAATGCACTTTATCAACACAGATATAATTCATAGTTTGTGCAACACCACATACAGAAACATACAGCTTCTTGGGAGTATTTTTCAGGTCCTCCAGATAAAAATACTCTAATAAAAATAGCAAACAGGTTGCGGTGAACAGGAAGGTACACGCTTTGGGCTTCAATACTTTAAAGAAGTCCACTCGTCCATTGTTCTCCATCGATTTGCTTCTCATCCCTCTCCAGACAAACACCTCTGCAGCAAGCAGCCTCTCAACTTAGGCCTGTAAATTTAATCTCACCCACTCAGAAAACCCTGGCTGGCAGGTTTGAAGCACAGATGAGAAAGAAAATACATGTTGAACAGGCTGTACAGGTTGGATGTCTATAAACAGAGACAGACAGAAGGAGGTCAGTCCCTTCTTGGGTTTATATTTCTTATATGAAACATTTCTGCTCCTTCTGCCTGCTTTAATCCTTATTAGTTTTATATTCTTCATCTGTTGGTATTCACCGAGGCACTTACAGTGCCTGCATGTTAACACCTCTCTCACTTCAAAKCTCGTCTGCTTGAAGTTTCTTTTAAAGTCAAAGCGACATCATAGGTACTCTCCCTTTACATGATTATTTTCTTACACTGCTTCCTTAGGAACATCCTTTAAGTTTTCACATTTTAGTAAAAAGGCACTTTATAGTTTCTGTTAGAAAAAATATGAAAAAAGAATAAACTGGAAGAAAAAGGAGAAAAAGAGTAAAGATTAATTAGGAGATCATCATTATATCTGTTTGGCCTTGTTTTTAAAAATAATTTATATCAGAGTTTATGGGATTAACTGCTTTAAAAGAAAAAAAATAGGTGATATTAAACTCATTCATTGTTATTTGGAAAACTGCCAATCAGTTTATATTTATAATGCTGCAAGTGAAATAAAATCTAAATCTAAATACAAGATTAATTAAAAATTTTAATGAAGTGATGGCACAAAAAGAAAAGTAAAAAAAAGGAAAGTTTATCTCAATCCTACAATAGTCTTATTGCAGTTTCACAAACTAGATCTGTGAAATCTGAGGACTGTTTTAGTGCCTTTGGTGGCTTCCCTCTTAATCTGAGAGTCTGCCGTGCCTGTGTTGTGTCTGTGCAACGCAACGACAAGCAGGAGGCTAAATTAGCTGCTGAATGCAGAATCTGAGTCCATGTTTGGTGTGTCTGAAAGACACAGCGAAGAGAGAGACAGTGGGAGGAAAATGTCCTTCGATGTGAGCGCTCTGCCATGGGAAATAAATGTGCTCAGGATTGGACCAAAGATTGCACAATTTCATCTTTTTAGACTTTTCCATTTGGCTCGTGCATGTCTCACACACACACACTCACACACACCATAAAAACTACTGACGTTTCAGTTCAGTACAAGCCTGGCTGTAAAACAACATAAAAAGAGATTTTATACTGTAAAAGCACATCTAAGACAGGGATTACAACAATATAAACATGCTTTTTAACATATGTTTTTTAAATAAAATGCTACATTTATTTCGTCTCAGTCTCTACCTTACTTGTACTTTGACAACATTTCTCTCTCTGTATCATCTCTGACTGTGATGCATTCATTTATTTCTATTACGCTGCTGCATGGTCCAGCCAGGTGTCTATTTATGGACTGTACCAATGACAGGAATGACAAGGAGGGAGGGGAGCTAGTGACTCATGAAATGAGGAAGAATTATAAGGCGGAATAGCCTCCATTTAGGGAAATTAGTCCTTTGTGGCAGTCTGTTTTGTTCCTTCTCTCCAACAAGGAGAACAAAGAGGACRTTGCAAACGAAAGGCAGCAAATGCATTTTATTAAAGGCTGTGATTAAACAGTGAGTCAGTYGAGCAAGAGGAAGACTTCTCCTCCTACAGAATGACTTCTAACTTTTCAACCTTGTCCAGGGTGACGTCTGGGGCACGCAGTCTGATTCAACTGGATCCAGAAAAAAAAACACAACTAAAATCAGCAACTGTGCTGCCATATGTTAGATACTGCCTCTACCAAAGAGGCAGGAAAATGATGGAAATCAAAGTTAAAACATGATTACTGTAATAAAAAACTAATTAAACTGAATGTGTCAAACTAAGTGAACTGAAAGAGGTTTTGAAAACCTGTAAGTCAAGAGAAGCAAGCGAATCTAAAGCATACAATACAGTGTAAAAACCTGTGGTCAAGAAGTCAAAAAATGTGTCTTTTTCTTTTGAGTTTACTTGATTTTTTTAAAGATCTTTTTTAAAAGTACTGTGGAACTGAAAAATGACTGCCCTGCAAATGTGGAAAAGAACCACAAAATCAGCTGCAGAGATGGAACTACAACTTTATCTACTATGTTATTTCAGGGAGGCTATATTAATAACAACATACTGTACATTGCATAATACTTCATTATCAGGGTAGATAATGTTACTTCTGCAACTCACAGTCACTATATTTACTCAAATGACTCCAGTCACTGTGATTGYAATAAAATAACAGAGCATTGATTTATGTGCCTCGAGTGTAACAGACTGTATGACTGAATATTTTTGTTTAATAACGGTTGGGCCAGTTCTTCCTGTGCTAAAGTTAATAAAAAAGGAGGCACAGAGGTCTCATTAGAATTTGGAGAATTTGACAGACTCTTCATTTGAGACACTTTAGGGYCATTTTACTCAGTCTGGAACTTTTCCTAAAGTGAAAAAAGAGAATACATGACCACACCCAAGGTTTACCAGGCCACAAACACGTTAATCATTACACCTGTACGTTTCCTGCAAGTCAAACTTCTGCTTGCAACGTCTTAACAACCAAACACAATTAAGTTGACAAATAATATAAAACTGTCACAATCAAAATGCGAACATATGATTTTTTTTTCACATTTTAATTAGAAGACAAAACTGTCCCATAAACCCATGTTTTCTAACTGCCTTTCCTTGCAGGCAGCTGGTGCCTATCCTCCAGAGGTACACCCTGGAGAGGKTGTCCATCACRGGGCCACGTAGAGACAAATGAGCCAAACAACCATCCACGCTCTCACTCACACGCAGTGACAATTAGAGTTACCATTCAGCCTAACCTGCATGTTTCAGTTCTGTGGGAGGAAACCAACACACCCAGAGAAAACCCACACATGCACAGAGAGAACATGCAAACTCCATACTGGAAAGCATCAGCCAGCTTTGAACCTGCAACCTTCTTGCTAACTAGGAGGAAGCTCTTATCACTRCCACGCTGTTCTGAAATCAAAGTTGTACTGCTATTTTTTTTTTCTTTTTGCTCTGCCACTACTGAGGGAACAATTATAGCTAATATACAAAGCAAAAAAAAAATCCATTACTGAAACAAAAACAGTGATAACCTTGCTTTAATTAAATTACAAACAGCACTCCAAGTCTTATCTTTATGGCCTCTGACACTTCGTAGGCAGACAAAAACATCAACTGGGAAAAACAAATTAGAAAACTAATCCCTTCCTGAGTACTCTAGAACGAGTAATTACATTATTAGGGACATGTTTGTCTTCCATCTTTGTCTGGCAAATAGATTGTGAGAGAAATCGATGAGCATATAAAGAAAGCACCCTTGTACAAATCATGCAGCAGCTGGTGAGTTACTTCTCCGCCACTCAACCACAGTGACCACACAAGAATAAAACAACATTAAAAACAAGCGGCTCATCTGGCTTGAGAATTTGYTGAAAATGATAACTAAATTGAAGCCTGACAAAGAAAAGAAAGCTGCTGCAGGCAAAGCCGGGTGATAAATAGAGTGGATAAATGAGTGGAAAGATAGGTGGTAAAATGAACAAACATAAAAAGATGATTGAAAAAAAATCACAGGCTACTTTAATCAAATCTAATGACATTTAATACAACAACTTGAGTAAAAAAATGGAGCTTGACAAATTGCCAACAACTGAAAATGTAGATGATTCATAAAAGGTTTTATGGTTGAGSGATTACAAATGGTTTTAAAGATTAGCCTACCTAATAAAAAGRCTGGTGCCTGTGTAACAATTTAAGCAGTGAATAACTCAATAGGAGTGACACGGTGGGGTAAATAAAAACCTGAGAGTAGTTCATTAGGTTTCGATCTGTGCTAGGCAGCTGGCTTTCTCCCAGCCTCTGAGAAACAGAACGATACAGCCACAGACAACACAAACTAYCCAARCTGAAGGAATTACCAAATACAGCTTATTGTGTAKTTTACTGAGCTCTGCTGAAATCAACCACATGCCGTGTTGTGAAGGCAAATGTGTTGCACAAGCGAGTGTGTGGAAGTGTCTTGTCTTTATTCACCGTGGAGTTGACAAAACCTGTTCCTGTGAGCGAGCTGGAAGTTGACAAGTCATCCCCTCTGAAYGCACACATAAACCACAGTCCTAAACTCCGACACACAACAAGACGCGCAGGACTGTGCGTCTAAATGAGCTGAGTTTGAACTCCTTCTGAAGACCTCCTTCMACACATACATGTCTCCTTTGACTTCTTTCCTAACCCTGGTTGGTGTCATTTGTCAGGACACGCAAGCCCAACATGCCAGAAGCAGGCACGTGAAAACGCACACACACACGCCTTAAAATGACAGAAACCACATATAAACAAAAGGTAACTTCCGTTGCCAAGTAGTGAAGTGAAACATACCGGTCTCTGAATGCTGGCAGTGACAGAACTGAAGCGAGTCCAAGTCAGAATGAATTAAAGGAACCATCGACTCACGATCACATCCCCTCCCTGCTGATTACCTCATTTCCTACTACACACATTTTTAGGAAGTCCTTTTTTAGAGGACGTGAGAGGACCAATGAAAATCATGGCTTCATAGAAAGAAGAAAAAAAAAGCAGAGAGAGAGTGACAAAGTAGGTTGTTTATGAGCAACCAAGCCACCCCAGCTGTCTTTTCCTGTGGTGAAGGCTACAGCTGCAATAAAAACCACTGATTAGCAAGATAATCCAAATGACATCTACATCTAACATTTTCAAATATTACAATGAACAGACTAAATTCAAACTATACCTTTTGGATTCATTATTGCACTTCTTTTAAGTCTCTGTCCTCCAAAGTCATCAGATCAGGCTAGCTCAAAACTATCTTTCTCTATTCAGCAACAAAACTGCAGAGGTGTGAGGCATCCAAGTAAAGGTCTCTGTGTCTACAAAAGGGCAGAGCCTCCAGTATGAGTCGATCTTACCTGCTCACGACTTCCACCCTGCTAAGAGCTGTGTACACCGCCCAAAAGATTTGAGCATTTATTTTGACATCTCTCAACACTTTTGCATCACTTCTTTTTCATGGAGTCAATTACATCCTTCTTTGTTTGGACTAGTAAGGCCTAGTGTTGCAGCACCGCCTCCCACCTTTCAGTCCCTTAAGTTCTCCTACAAAAGCAGGTTACTTTCAGCCTGGAGCAACATTGGGAGAGAGTGGGACTTTGCTTCGGTTTTCTGTCCCTCTGTGTAAAAAAGGAAAAGAGCCTGAAGCAGACATGACAACAGAGTCTCTGGCTTGTGTTTGTGCGTGGTTTTGGTGCGAAGTGACACAGAGCAATCTGACAAGGAGGAATCCTCTTACAGCAGCCTACGCTCTCCTCTCTTTTGCCTCTAGGCCAGTGATGCATCTTCGTCCTTTCAATTCCCCCATCCTCCTGCAAGCAACTGCGCCTGAGGAAACCACGAGTAAAATGCTTAACTTGCACTTTTTCCCCCTCTTCGTTTATCTCATCTTGTCACAATTAGATAGCCTGAACTGGAAGTTGTTGTTGTTTTTTTACTCCTCAAATTAGCAGGATATTACAGCACTCCACTGGCATAGCATATCTGCAACGCCAGATGACAGTACAGCTCACATGATCTTCCTGCTCCTTGACCTTATGTACTTTGTTGTCAAAAAGCATTAAGAGGTCCGAGGCACTACGAGCCAATGATGCCACTTTGAATGCTTCCATGCACACATACATGCATACTCTACTGGCAGCTCTTTTAGTGTACAATCATAAAAACCCACAAGGCAAAACATCTGTACATTACATCAAAGGTAAAGCTACCCACTTGGATAGTAAACGGGAACAATAACAAATGAACCACTAATAAACCTCAGTGAAAACACCAGCAGAATGTAAACATGCACTTGCTCCTGACATACAGGAACCTCCTAAACCTCCCAMTCTGCATCACATGACATCTTGTTAGAATCTTAACAAGGAATAACTACCTAACATGCTAATCTGCTGTTGTTTTACTTCTTTTTGATAAACAGATTAACAAAACAAAACAAAATCACCTGAAAAATCTTAACACACCCACACAGCTATCAGTGCGGTCAGGTACAGGTACAAAGTCTCTTTATCATACTCACAAAAGGGAAAAACTGATTTTATGCTTCTTTCTTTATCACGTCTAGTAAACCTAGTAAAACTGGTTCTTCAAATATTATACCTGTGACTAAAACAATTATGCTAACCGTTCAGTTTTGTTGACCGGTCTGGTTTGACAACTGACACAAAGCTTCTTGTGTGGCTCCTTAATTGTCTCCAGGTGACAAATACCAGCAAAACTACTCGTTCTTTTCTTTGTGTTTCTCGGCCAGAGGACGTAAATTAATCCTCCGCTGTCACGGGTTTTCAGTCACAGCTTTTGCCGAATGACTTCTCCGCGCTGTCGCCGCGGCTGCATTCGGGTTAGCTCATCGGCTAGCTCCCGGCTACCGCGGTGCGTTAAAAAAAACAACTGCTGACTGAACTGAGAAAGTTACAACGCACTTACTAGCATGCTATCTTGTCGGTTTCCCAGGTGTGGCTGTGGTTTTTCGTTCCCGACGAGAAAAAGTGAACGCTTCGCTACTCCGTAAATCTCCTTAATAATTCAACAGCATCGGCTCCTTCCATCTTCATTATASTTTCTTCGCACAGACTGGGCGGCCAGACGAGGTTGACTGTAACTTCAGAGTGACAGGGGTTTGAGCCAATCACAGAGCGGTACAACAACACTGACCGCACCCCTAAAATGTAGTATCCAATCAATTTGGACTTTAGGCTGAACATTAATAATTTCCATCATCGGGTTAGGTTGTCGCTGTCAGTCTGCTCTTTRACAGGCGATTGATCAAAGCACTGTAATCAATTACCAATGAGAAAATAAATGAACAGATACAAGCTAAAAACGAAAATATACATTCAAAATTACTGAATGGTTTTAATAAAGACTAACTTATGATTAGTTTGATTAAAAGTATTGCATGTTCACGCTTAAAGATAAAGAAAAAACAATTTGCATTCTTACATGTTTAGCTAATATTTGCCATTTGTTTCTACATTTTGTTCTAAATGACTTTTAGTTTGCATCTTATTTATATTTTTATTTAAAAGACAGTTTCTCTTTAACCATCTGTTTTTTCACACTCCAGTGGCAAAATAATCTGTCTCTGAAATGATCTATTCATAGTAAATATATTTGGCAAGGATTTGGGTAGCACAGGATTTTCCCAAAATAATTATGAAAATGACCATGTGTTTGTCTTTTCCAACAATGGGAAAGCTGTGAATTATGACAAATTAATTAATGTAAWAGGACTTTTGTGGATTAACTGCAAATCTGCTTCCCCTAAACGTCACAACAGAATCACACTGTAATAACAGTTACAAAAGCAGAAGAAATGGGAAAATAAAAATAAAAACTCCAGTTGAGTTTTCACTCTTGCTGTAATAAATTGAGATTCCTCCTCAGCAACTAAAAATAAAATCTTTTAAAATCTTTGTGATTTATCTCCTAAATACTCCTGTGAGCACAAACATAAAAAATATATATTTTTACAAAAACAAAAATAAAAAAGCATGTAAACCAAAGTTACACATTTATAATTTAGTGCTGGAATTTAGATAGTTTTTGTCAACTGAGATTAATTGAGGACAGAAATAAAGAAGGCAAAAACTAAAATAAAATAAAATAAAAAAGAAAAACAAAGTGAGTCTGCAGCGCCCCCTTGTGTTATTTGCTCAGAAAACATGGTTTCAAAGGAAGAGAAACAAAAGGCCTAATTTTGTTAATAACATATTTTACAGAAATAAAAACAGCCTAAATCATCAGACTTAAATTAAGTTGACAAAGTCACAATACAAAAACTACACTCAATAAACAGTATGTTGCACAGATCATTTTGAAACCACAGTATGAAACCTGTAATCCATTCCAAAACACATGCAAAATCTGCATAAATTACCCAGAAAAATGCTAAAAATATGTCTAATTTCGAAGACGCTATGATCAAAATCCATCAAACATCATCATTTTGAAGGGCAATGATAACAAAATCAGTTCCTGGATACAATTTAATAAAAAAATGCAAGAAGAAAGTTGTGTATTTGGAGAGAGATCCCTCTCCACCAAGTGTTTAATCCTTGTAATCTAGGAAAAGTGATCACTTCATTAAAAAAAAACAGAATTTGCAATAGTTTAAATACATTCACAGGCTGTATCACAGGCTGTAAATACATTCACAGGCTGTATCACAGGCTGTAAATACATTCACAGGCTGCTAAAGTAAAATGTGCACTAACAACATTAGTATAACTTTTAACAGGATTATTTCAAAATATTTATGTCCTTGTTATATGTTACGACTACATAACATGGAATTATTTCGTTTTAATCATTCTTTTATTTCTATTTTAGGTAATGAATGCACAAAGAGTATGTGACAAGCAGTTGTTCCAACCCCAGTTGTTAATAGATAGACAACATTGTTGAAAGGAAGCAAAAAYACAAGCAGAAACAAAATGAATACAAGGGAAACAAAACAACAGCAATCAGARGTAAAACAAAACAAYGGTTAGCAATCAGCCCAAATTTACRACATGAACATAAAAAGACACAWAATGGCRTTTGTCATCAAAGTGGCAAAGCCTAAACTCTCCAATCTGTAGAAACTAAAGATTTATCTTAAATTAGTTTCAATGCTTGTGATCCAATGTTTTTTCTACTTTTCTAACTCATACCAAACGTGTATAATTTAAAATGTTGCAGCTTATTTCTATTGCTGATGGAGCCCGTGTTGCAGCTAAAATGTTTTATTACACAAATATATCTTTTTGTTCAAATAAACCCTTGCCTTATCTGAATTACAGACTAACTCCAGCTATTTGTGCRGCCTCGGTGTAAACGTCTGCAGCCTGTTTCCTGTACCTCTGCGATAACTCCTTCGCTCTYCTCACTTCCCTCAAGTTCTCCTCCAGGTTTTCGCTCAGCCTTCCGTGCTCCTGGTAGSTTCCCGCCGCCCCCTTCACCTGCATGGTCATGTGACCGTGGCTACGGAGGAGCCACCCGATTAGCTCCTGSAGCGTGGTGCCCATTGAGACGGTGGCCTTAGCGTGGTCAGAAAGCGCTTTGATTTCATCCTGTGCCCACCGCAGTGCCGTGGGCAGTGGTTTGTCTTCATTTTCATCCGATCCAACAGGATCCACAGCCAGGGAGAAGTCATAGCCCTTCATCTTCAAAGAAACACGATACTCAGCCTCTGTAAAAAGATGGAAACAAAATAAAAACAGGAAGTGTCTGCTCTATTGCTTTGCTTGAAATAAAAGGTCTGTCCCTCACGGTGCTCATCACGGACCACCTTCACGCATTCAGCAAAGGTCAGGTCATCATCCCTGGCACARCCGTAGCTCTGTTTCAGGTTTTTGACGTGTCGAACCATGGTCTCATAGTGCTCCTGCTGCTGGTTGAAGCACTCCTCCACCTCGGCGAACCTCTGATCCAGCTCCGGCACGTCGACTCGCCTCACCATCAGCCTGCCGACCCTCCTCTGGGAGTCTGGGCTCGCAGGCACAGAGAAGTAAACACACACAGGCCCACCGTACTCGTGCTTTAGGAGAGTGAAAAGCATACACAGGACATACCGTGGTGAGCTGGGCGGGTCTGCCTGGCACTTTCAGCTCCGTTCACCTCAGATGGAGACCTGGGGTGCAGCAGAGGCTGTCTCTGAAACAACAGGTGTTTTATTTACATATCTTTATTTTATCTTAAAAAAAAAACCACTAACTAAATTCATCTAAATCTATAACACAAACTCCACATCAAAGATAAAAAACATATCATTAAAATAGTAAACAATGGTAGGCCAAACTTACAACATTGTAATAACTAAGGAAAGTGAGTTAAAGTGAAATTGTATCACTGCTATCAAACAAACCTCGTTGTTGAAGTTCTCGCCAGTGGGGAAACAACAGCAGAGAAAACGGAGCATTTCCTGCAGCCCTGGTGTCTCACTTTGTTTTCTCGGGTCAGTGAATTTTCTCAAAGCTTTTGTGGACCGCATTCCACATGACGTCAGCGTCACGCGACTACTGAACATCTTCCTGGTTGTGTGTGGKKTTTTTTTTTCCTGACAACAGGTGAGCCTCGTTAACCACGTGCGCAAAAAGGAAGTAATTTAAGACAAAAAAGGGTCGATAATTGCGTAAAGTGGGCTGATTACGAAAAACTTTGCATGCACCAAGTTGGGGAGTGGGGTAAATAAATTAATTAAAAATAGACTCATGTTCTCAAAAATTTATTTGGTGAATGCTGCTCTTCAGCGATTTTGTGCAGCTTTCTTACCTGTAATAATGTMCTCTACAAAATAAAGGTCATCATTATGTTTCTCATCAAACATGTTCATTCTGCTTCACATGTTGAGYCAGTGTAAAGGTGACAAACAGTGTTGAGCTTTTACAAATAAACTAACTGCATTAGCTTTCACAGAGCCACTTATTATAAATCTTCCTCG